AAACCCACCACACAAAACCACAACAGTATGATAAGTCTTTCATCAGTATTAGCATGAGCTTAATTATTGAGCATTCAGTAAAAATGTTTATTCTTTCTCGCAAATTTTTGAAAACTGTACTAGTATTTTAATAGATGGAGCAGCCCCCATCAACCTAGTTTGCTGTGCACTGGCAGTGAAAAAGTAAATTGCAGCAAGTAGTAGTGTTACTGTACTTTTCTGTTTCATCTGCATAGGAAATTATTTTTTTCCCTTTGACGCTCACAGTAAAAAAATCTGGGAACGTCTATTTTTTGGCTGTTCTTTTCATATATATGCCTGGGCAAGCCAAATACTTTCAAGTCAGAGCCAAGCTAGAGCCAAGCCTAGGGTCTGATTTGGCGCTGCGAAACAAAACCAAAGCTGTATTACTAAAGTACATTGTAAAATTAATGAATAATTAAATACAGGGAAAAAAAAATCAGAGACCAAGCCCAGACAGGGAAAAGGCAAAGTACTTAATGCAGTACATTCATTTTGTATTACTATAGACATATGCATTTTCTTTTTAACCATTCAGAATGTTCCAAACATTCACCAAAACTTAATTAAGCATCAATTAAGTTCATAGTAGTGCAAAATTCCTAAGAGGTATTTTGGGCCGCAAACAACTGCATATCTTTAAGCCTGTAAGAGCTGCTAGTGATTGCATTGGAATTACTCTGTGCTTAAAACAAATCACACACAGAAATATTTTACTGAGTGCAAGCACAATAACCATAATGCACCAGAGCTTGCATATGGGATGCATTAAGGTATGTTTGCCTAAAGATAACTAACTTCGGTGGTCTCAGCCAGACCTGACTGCTATAAACAAGTACAAGTCCAGTTCAGTGACAAACATACATGCAAAATCACACCTCAGTCCTTTGTAGGACAGAGGATAATTTTATGCACTAAAGCCTTTTTTTCCAAGCTATACCCTGCCATTGTGTTCTGCCAGTTGAAATACAGTCAGCATTAGTATACGGAGCTATTCATGACAATCATAAAAGAACAATCTTAGTGGACGGCACTTAACAACGTTTGCCAACATTACGTAGCATTTATTCATGTTTAAGATATAATCATGAGGGATTTGGAGGTAACATTTTGCCATCAGGTGTTCAGCCCCAGGCTGGCTCTCACCCAGTGAATAAAACAAGAACAGGCCAAGCTGGAGAACAACAGAAGATTCCACAGCCAGTGCCTGCCTGGGAAGCAAGAGGAGCATATGAGATTTACAACTTCCATATTTATCTCCAGTGTACCTCTGCAGAATGATGAAATTGTACCCTATGCCCAGTTAAGACCTTCTTTGACACATGGCAGATGCTTATCTTCTCTCTTGAAAATAGAGATTGTACAATTGCATGAGAAAAATGAACTCTACAAAAACATTCTTAAACACATTTATTGCAATTGCATGCACAAGCCAGGTAATTTTCTTCAGAAGTAGGTAGCTGGACACCTAATTAGTACTTGTGAACATATTCTTACCGTTTTCATACTCATTTCAAGTACATGCATGTGCATGTGATGCACATAGATCCAAGTGTAGTTTTTCAGGACATGCTGTAGGGCCAATTACAACACTGTGGATTTTAAAAGAAGGAAACCCACAGTTCTGTAGATATGGAACAGGAGGGGATGAAATATGTTCTTGCTAATAGAATAGTGTCTGTATTTACTTTGAAATCTGCCTCTTGCAGTCCTGTTGGGTGCAAAATATTCATTTGGTTCAAAGACAAAAAACATTTAATTTTTTTCCTCTAAGACAAAAAAATAATTAAAAGATCCACACAGAGCTTGATCTAAATTAAGTGTCAATAAAAGGGGTCCTGTTCTCTCTCTTCTGATATCCCAGACACCTACTTAGCAGCTAGAGGATGGGAAAGCTTTAATTAATTTCCATACCTCTTAAATAGGTATGTAGATATATGACAATAAGAAAACTTTAACATGATTTTCCTTTGCTTGTGTTTCATAGTCTTTTGTTAACAGACTTCAGATAATCTGTTAATTATTTATAAACGCATGCTTAATTCCCAATTTATTTGCTTTTGTCACAGGTTTGTTTATATTTGTATTCCATTGCGCTATGAAAGAAAATGTGCAGAAACAATGGAGGAGACATCTCTGTTGTGGCAGATTCAGACTGGCAGACAATTCAGGTAAAAACAATTCACAGCTCCACTCCTTAGGTGCTGCAGTAGTCCATAAAAGTCCAGGTAAACAGCTTGCTATGTTATTTTTAATATAATGCGATGTAAGCCAGAGATGTGGAAAAACAGATTAATCATAGGCTGTCACTTCACTTCAGTACTAGTAATTGCCAAGGGACTTTTCAGATATCACTTCATTAAAATTCTCAAGTCTTCTCTTTCATTTTTCCACTGACTGCAGCTGGTAAATTTTGTGATGCTATAAGCATGGTTTTGGAAGGCCCTTTGGCTCCCGAAAAAAAAAAATAAATAAAGATCCAGAGATTCAAACTCTGTCATTCAAAAGCCTATCTTATTCTTTTTCTTCTACATTACAGTATGTTGACTGAATTGTGTGGACTGTTAAGTTGATGGTGGAAAAATTTTTAAAAGGCAGATGGAAAGACTCTGAGGTCTTCTGCTTCTATCTTTGCCTTTTCAAACTGTTCTGTCCATCACCATGTAATTTGGAGACACCATTAGAGTCCCAAAAACATGGGAAATTCCTCTAGCAGAAGCCTGACTAGGTTCCAGAATTGAAGTTCATCTTTATTTGTGACTCTCAAAGAGAAAGGAGAATAGTTGATTTGGACTCTCTGAAGTGCAACACTGGGGACACTGTGTTTATAGTCTCCTGCACCTTTGGCCATCCCAGGTGGAATTAGACTCCTGTGTTTAGCCAACTGGATCTTGCTTTGCTATCTGATGTAATGATTTTGGACCATATAAATCTTGCTCATATGGTTCTTGCTCAATGACCAGGGTTGAAATCTACAGTTGATGTGAGGTGGCATATGCTCATTGCCTAGTAAGGTAAGCCAGTTTATCAAGGATAATAACAGTGCTCCAAATAGTCGTGTCCTTTCTTTCTTGACATCCAAGGTTTGTTTCAAGGTTTTTTAAGTAGCTGCTTTGCTATCAAGACTTTTGCTTTGTCTTGCTCTGTTTTGTTTAGGGAATGCATTCCCATTATACACCATAAAATATTTATGCTTTCACTTTCTTGTAAGAAAACTCATGACTTCAAGGAATTAATACAAATGAGGAAAAGCATATTCATGCTGATCAGGCATCCAGATTGTTTCACATGTTCAGTTTCCATGTGGTTCATGCTGTAACTCCTGAACTGGAAAACAAAGATGGATGAAATTGTTTCCAGATTTTTACGCAGCAGTTGTGCAGCTTGTGTGTATGATAGAAATAAAAACCTGAAAGTTCTGAGTATTTCATTAGGGTAGTTAATGTGCTGTCATTTCACCTAGCATTAACCTGTCCATCACCACCAGCTGTTTTTATTTTCCATGAACCTGACACAGTTTGCAGGCAGAACAGTGAAACATAAGCCAAATGTGAACTTGCATACCTATCTGACTGAAGTGTCCTTTAGGGCATGCTATGATAAAGCAAAGAAACAAACAAGGCAAAGCCTTGCAACACTGCCATAGATAAACTGGACAAATAGTAACCTGTACCCTATAACAATGATTTAGGATAAAATCTTTGTCTTGATTGAAACCAAGGCTAAAGTGGCCCATGTGTCTTTGGTTTGAATTTTTGTGAATTTCATTGCAGTTCAGTGAATTAGAATGATAACAACAACAACACTAAAGTGTGAAAGTATTTGTACCTGCCTGCAGTATATGATACAAAAGCAGTTAGATACATTTATTCTGCAGGATACTGCTATTGGGACACTTGTGATGAGGTTTTGCAGTAAGTTTTCCTCAGTAAGTTTATTGGTATTAGATATTTAATTTAATGTTGGAAGTTGTTCTAGTATGAGAGCCTATTATATTAATAGTTCGGACAAAACTTTTCAAATGTGAACTACTGAATAACCATGATTATTCATTGTTATTAACAGTGCACCAATAGGCTAAACCCTATAACAACAACTGCAAATCCACTAGTATGTAGTATCTGCCTCAGCAGATCAAGCCCTCAAATGATAAGACCTCTAAATCCTCCAATCCATCTCTTTCCTATACATCCTTTTGGATTTCTCTGTTCAAATGATGGAACTTTGGCAACCTTATACTGCCACAGATCTTCACTGCTCCCCTGCCTCCTGAAAAGTCAGATCTTACTTACAGTTCTGCCATTCAACCAAATGATTTTTAGAGTGTTAAAGCCACCAATTTTAACTACTGTGGTAAACAGCAAAGTAAATCAAGTTGGAATGATTATTGTGCTTCTTAAGGACCAAAGAGGCTATCTAACAGGAAAAGGATAGGCTATTTGTTATAAGAAACATTAAGAAATGCATCTGAGACTTAAAATGTTCATAATTTAATAAATTGGGCTTTTAGTACCTACGGTAGTTATTTATGTGAAACTTTTCTATCATTTTTAGATTGGAGCAAAACAGCAACAAATATTATAAAGAAGAGTTCTGATAATCTTGGGAAATCCTTGTCCTCTAGTTCCATTGGCTCAAATTCAACCTACTTAACATCCAAATCAAAATCTACAACGAATACATATTGCAAAAGAAACAGCCATACAGGTGAGTTCTTGCATTCCAACACAGTGCATCTGTGAATAAGTAGTTTCATGTTAAAGATACTGTAGGGATTTCCATCCAAAGGTTAATGTGAGAAAATATCACCAATCTGTATACTTTCAGAATTTGTAAAATATATATTACTGTTTAATAAGAATCTTAACCTACTATACAATACAGCCAATACATAGTTCTGATCTGGGTATGTTCCCATAGTAAACAATGTAGTCATGACAAAAGCAAACCTCTTTGGCTAAAAGAAGGTAAGTCTTATTATCCGATTGTAAACATATAGTAACCAAAGCACAGGGAGATAATGTTCATTGCCCAAGGTAACACGAAAGCTAGCAGCACAACTGGGAACAAGAGTCAAGTTTTCTGAATCCAGGTTGACAACTGATTCATTTGGTCAAACTGCTTCCATTGAACTGTAACACATTTATGGGTAAAGCAACAAATAGAGGCTACTTGGAAATTGCTACTGTGTTCCCAATGTATGCATCACCTTTCCCTTCTATAGCTAGCATGCCCCATCTGCTACTTATTTATCTCGATGTCAATGAGGTATCCCAAAGGCATCATCTCTATTCCACTCATGCCATAACAATGTGCTCATTTTAAGAACACTTTAAAGAAGCACAGAAAGAGAGGAGCTGGAATGATTTACAAGTCTGTTTGCTTATGTCTGAGATAATATTTCAGAAAATCCCTTCAATAGTTTGGATTTTTTTGGCACTGGGATTTTGTGAACTCATGTTTTTGTACTGTATGAAATCACATGACACATTTTGTGAACTCATGTTTTTGTACTGTATAAAATCACATGACGTTGTTGCAGAATCCTCTTCTAAAACACAGGGGAAATAGTCTACAAACATATTTAACCCAAATATATATTTCTTGCTTTAAAATATTTGTTAGAAGCAAAGTTTTAGATATGAAATAGATTATTTTACCAGAAGGAAAGTTCCCTTGTTTCTTAAGAATACATTATTTCAGAAACCCCGAGGTCTCATTTATGATGGCACAGTCTCATTTCTTGATATGTAGCATAGTTTCAAGGAAATACCTTCTTATTTTTATCGATTATCGTTAACTGGTACAGTTAGGCACCCAATTTTTGTCTAGAATTCATATTTTTTTAAGAATTATGTTATTATTCTTTTTGGCTGTAGCCATTAACCAACATTCAGTACACCCATTAGCGTGAGAGGTTGTACATCAGGTATTTTAAGACTTTGCATCTTTTTTGGTTAACAAGAATATACTTGGAGTACATATGCTTTGAATACAGCAAAAAGTGAGCAGTATCTTAGAAATTCCCTGTGTACCTGAGCTTGCCCTCGGGACTGCCATTCACAGCCAGGCTGAGAGCACACAGCTGGCAAGTGCCTCACCAGTCTGTCCCTGCTGCCATCTGGGGTTTGATGTGCCACACTCCCAGCTGCCCTAAGCAAGCTGTCTTCAGCTCTCTCTCCTATGAAGGGAAACTTTTGTCAGCAGTCTTCCACAAACAATGTCTATAAAACCCACTGATTACAGAGCTGCTACTAATTTAATAGCAGAGGAGGAGGGCATCATGTCCTTTCCCCTGCAGAACATTCTCTCTTCTTCAGACAGAATTCCCGGTCGTACTTGTGGCAGATCAGCCTTTAGACCCTTGGTATTGGAATTAATCATAAAAACATGCTTGCATGTTTTGTTGGCTTCAGGGTTTTTTATCAGTCTGACAATTAAAGAGACTTAGTGCTGGAGGTTTTGCCATGCGATCTTGAAGCAAAATAAAACAGTTCCAGATAAGAAGTAAGTTAAAAGAAACTTGTGGTTAGGAACATGCTCACATACTTTTTTCAAAAGTGGTGAGCTTAATGTGTAAATTATTTCTTAAAAGGGGTTGTAGTTGGTAATATAATCATAGCTTGTAACATCATTGTTTATTGGACATTAAGGGCATACCACAGTTTTCTCTATATTTTTGAAATCTTAGGACATTTTGCTTTGACCTCTGAAAATGCACATTTTATTGTGATACGACAAAGAGATTTTTTGCTAAAGTTAGGTCTTTAAATGCTGACGTATCTTGCATGTTAAAATAATACAACATAACATTAAGATTCTGATTTTTAATACAGCCAAACTTGCCAGTTTGACGTCTTAGCTAAATTACAGGCCAATAATGTAATAGCTACATGTCTTGGCAGCTCTTGTTAATATAGCTGTAATGTGCTCCCTGGAATTGACACAAGCATTCATGTGTTTGTGGTATAGATAATGTCTTCTAAGACCCTTTCCTCATCAGTGGTGGAACATTACAGGTAAAGTGAGAATTGCTTTTGCTGAATGCATGGTTTGAACAGGGTGGAGGGATGCCACTTGCATGACGTCTTCAATGACACAAAGGACTTTGCTAATCAGAAATGCTTCTTGTTTCTCGCTATTACATCTTTCGCCATTGATGCTGAATCGAAGGATAAGTGTGCTTCAAACTCTGGGTGTCTGCACTCTGCATGAGGCATGAAGCTAGAAAACAGACCATGTCCTGATGTTAATGCCTGTGTACAGTAGTCTGCATATATTAAAAAAACAAAAAACAATCTGATTGAGTCCTAGAATTTTTTTTTAATATTTTTAAACATTGTTCCAGGAATTTTAGGATATTGTATTTCTATTTGGTCTATGGCCATGATAGAATTAGTCTTCTGGCCATTGTTTTTTCATATCCAGTCACACCCAAAATAAGTCTGAATGACAAGCTATATATGTCTGAAAGCCGTGCTGTGAACTGCTGGTTGAATGCAGAATGCACGGATTGGGACACGAATGTTGGGTAGACCCTACTGGGTGCATGAAGGAAATCACTTTGGCATCTTGTGGCCCTGATGTCTATGAGTGACACAAACTTATTGTAGATGGTACTTAAATACCATACACATAGCACTTCTATGAATTAGAAGTTAAGATTATTACTGGGGAGAATTTGGTGGTACAAGTCCCATTTATTTCAGTGGTACAGGATTTTAATGGGTGTGAAGCCCATTGAGCCAAAAAAAAAAAAAAAAAGAGGGCCCCACTGGTTTCAAAGGCCTTACATAATTCCTGTGCATGCAAATTTCATGAGGAAATAGCTGTTATTTAACAATGTAATGATGCCTTGTGAAAAAAAATGTACATATTCGCAAGGAATTTCAAAAACTTTCCCTAAAGACTGAGAATTAACTTTTCGTCTTTGTATTAAGACATTCAATGTGCAGAAAAACTTCATAATGTTGTACTATTGGCTAGTAAATACATACATTTGAAAGGCACACAGTACTCCTCAGTTTGCTATTGGACATGGAGTTATTTGCTGCAACTCATGGACATTCATGCGTGCTTTAAAAAATCATCCTGATATGCCTGAACATGCCTATTTCTTTTTTTTCATGAGTGAAACTGTTTTGATTTCTCAGTCTGCAATCCATTTCTCCTTTGCAACACTTTATACTCTTTTATGGCTTGATATCATTACTTCTGCAGGGGCGGGTTACTTTTCTGTTTATTTTTAGTTACTTTGTTTCTATAAGAAAAAAAAGTATGAAATCGTAGTTTAAGTAACATGCTAAATTCTTAAATGATCCTTTACCAAGGAATTTTTGAAGGTGATTTCACCAAGGTCTTGTGAGCAGCCATCAAAAATGTCACTTGTAGAAACCATTGCTTCGTAAGATCTTACTGAAGGCTTGTGATGGTCCAAGCCCTGCCTGGGTTAAGAGAATTAATTCCAGCTTTATACAGTGAAAGAGATAAGACAGCTCATTAGGACAATGTACTTTAGAAAAGGAGATGCAAGCGCTCTCCTTCTCATTGCTCACTACATGAGCTCTACCTACCGACCATTCCCTGAACAGCAATAGAGTTAGCTACTGAAGCAGACTTTCCCAGCCCTTCTGGGAATTGCCTTGCTCCTCTTTCTCTGCAGCTCTGCCCTCGGCTTATAGCACATGAACTCTGAAGGGATGCCAGTTTTCTGCATCTTTTGCTCCCCACAGCTGTTCAGTCTATACCCTCCACATGATGGAAAAAACAAAGTGATGGTAGGCAAGCACAAAGTTTAGGCCAGTTTTGTCTCTGATTATCTGCTTTAAGATGCAAGTTAGCTTTTGCTACATTCTGCACAGAGTATGTTATTTCTGTGCATAATTTAAAACCTCCACTGTTGAAATAATTAAATCAATTTACCATCATTTTCCACTACTTGATTGTGTGGCAATGTTATTTACCAGATGTTGTGGAGGTCACTCCTTTTCCAATGCTATTGAAATGGTTTTAGTTTGTAAGATTCAAAGCATCAACAGTAATATATTAATATATATATTAAGAGGTTGTAGGAGTGAGTTACACTTTAAGCAAAAGAATAGGGGGATAATTTCAGGAGACACCTGAGAGGTCTGCCTACAAAACCAGGTGTCTTGAAATAATTTAGAAGAAGCAATGCCAAGACAAAAACTTGTTCTCTGGCTTTTAGGGCAGTAATTTCATTCAGCAGTAGAGGCAATTGAAGGCATATCTATGTGGGAGTGGCACACCTCTTGAACTATGAGTTTGCTTAAGAAACTCTAACTTCTTGTTGTTGCTTTTTCCACTTCCTAGAGAACATTTTTCTTGACAAGCCATCTTCAAAATTTGCCCAAGAGGATGGAGAACAGACGTCAATCATCCCTGTCCACCAGGTTATTGACAAGGTCAAGGGATACTGCAATCCTCACTCTGAAAACTTCTATAAAAATATCATCATGTCGGAGACATTTAGTCACAGCACGAAGTTCTAACTGGTCTTTTGGAGTTTTTAAATTAAAGGAGGACATAAAGTCTACCTGGAATTGAGAATACTGGATGCTGTAGAATGCTACCTGTTTAGTTATTTTTTTCACAGTTTATAACGTTCTCCTGTTAACAGCTTACACTTGAGGACCTATTTCTCTACCTTTTTACTGCTGTGGAAAAAGACAATTTTCCACTATGGTATTGAGCTGTTTTTAAATGTGTGCCAGCCAACATGATACCTGGACAGCTAATTGTAATCCTGTGTAAATATTTTTTAAGACTGAAGAGCCACAAGCCAAACTCTAAATTATATATTCCAAACAGAAGCAAGTCTTGACTCCTGAAGAAACTAGCAGGCATGTGATGCATTACAGGCAAACTCTTATTGAACAGTTTGCTGATTGAGCTGTTTTTAAATGTGTGCCAGCCAACATGATACCTGGACAGCTAATTGTAATCCTGTGTAAATATTTTTTAAGACTGAAGAGCCACAAGCCAAACTCTAAATTATATATTCCAAACAGAAGCAAGTCTTGACTCCTGAAGAAACTAGCAGGCATGTGATGCATTACAGGCAAACTCTTATTGAACAGTTTGCTGATTGTCTTTTTCTTTTGAAAAATATGGATTTTTACAATACTTCTTAGATTCTTGCTTCTTGACTGTCTAGTGCTGTCTGTTCTTTATTCATCAGTGAATAAAACCATAACACCAGTGTTAAAGGGTTATTTTAAACCATTTTTGACTAAACAGACCTACTCATGCAAATCTTGCTTACCAAAACAGTATGTGCTGTAAATTCAGGCTATTTACATAGAAAGACCCTTATTACATAGATGTGCTGGCTGAGAAGGGCATGCAGGTTGCTAGTAGCTCTTGCAAATTTTAAGTCTATTGATATGTATGTAAACAGACGGCCATACGTATCATTTGCATCTGTGCAGAACAAGTACATAAGTAAATCCAAAGTTTACACAAAGACACTTTTCAACATTTGTTGATTGGTATGTATAAAATGCAATGTCTCCCATCACAATTATATGTTTAATGTTCTTTTTCACTAAACAAAATAGAAGACATTCAACTCTATATAGATATATAAATATATACCTAGATCTCTTTCCACATATATTTTTATAATAATGCACACAGTAAATATGACAGAGGAAACAGAATCACAGAGTAGTTGAGGTTGGAACTGACTTCTGAAGATCATCCAGTCCAACTCCCCTGCACAAGCAGGGTCATCTAGAGCATGTTAAACAGGATCGGAGCTAGGCAGCTTTTGAATATCTCCAGAGAAGGAGACTCCACAACCTCTGTGGGCAACCTGTTCCAGTGCTCTGTCACCCTCACAGTAAATCTTCCTCTTATTCAGATGGAACTTATTGTATTTCATTTTGTGCCCATTGCTTCTTGTCCTGTCACTGGACATCACTGAAAATAATCTGGCTCCATCCTCTTGACACCCTCCCTTTAGATATTTGTAAATCTTGATTTGATCCCCTGTCATTCTTCTCTTCTCCAGGCTAAACAGGCACAGCTCTCTCAGCCTTTCCCTATAACAGAGATGCTCCAGTTCCCTGATCATCTTTGTAGCCCTCCACTGGACTCTCTCCAGTAGAGAGAAACCACAATGCATACCATGGACAATCTAAGAACAACAAAAGGTGCTAAAACTTAAGTATTTAAATATGAGATGAATACTTTGTAATCCCATGGGTTCATTTGTCAGTCTCTGTACTTCAGATATACTGTATGTATAGACGCCTCCATCATATGACATTGCAACATTAGAATAACCTGGAATACATGTACCAATAATAAGTAAATAACATGTTTCCAGGCACGTAACAGTATCAGTATCGGTATCCCTCTCCTGCCTCCCTGTTGGTTGACTTGATTGAGACTGGTGGAGGCAGAGTTTAAACAGTGTTCAGGCAACAGTAGGGAATTTTGCATTGCTATACTGTGTGCATAATGACACTGAGTTGTGTGTGTGTGCAGAGAACAGACAAAAGCATAAAATGCTTACTTGTTTTAATCTCTGTAGATGTGTGATACATTAGCATGTGGCCATAACTGCTAAAAGTGCATCACTCCTCACAAAGCATGTCTTGCCCCATGGCAGGTTTTTTAAAAATGCACATGTTGCTGAAGACAAAGGCAAAAACATCAAAGATATTTTCGAATACAGTTTTCAGATGGGAATGTCTCCTAATGCAAATTTACATTTTTTAAAAAGGCTATTTTTTTGGCTAAAGTATTTTTAGACAGGTATTTAGTTATCTGTATTCAGAAGATGACCAAAAAGTTGTGCTATTTTTCAGTTGCCAAGCAGGTGGATGTTCAGGGATGTAGATTTGTGCCTTTCTTTGCTCTTTGCATGCACTTTTGCATGCAGAGATCGTTTAATGCTGTGATCGCACAAATAGAGTATTTACCCTGGCTGCAAACACCTGGTGGGAGGAGAATGTCCTGACGGTATTCCGTCCAGAAATACTGCTGCCGCTACGCGGACCTTAACAAAACCTCAGTCTTGTAACTGCAAATTCTTACATGGTAGTATGAATGAAAGTCAATCCAATTCACTTCCAATGTAATTATTAACAGGGATGAGTGTTGTCAGGTATCTTTAATAAGGGAAATAATTTTGGGAGAGATTGTGTACAAGCATTTACTGAACTTATATTTTATCATCCCACTTGCTTAACTACTGTAGATAATAGTGTTCACATAGCAGCTTACTGTGAGATTTCTACCTGATTAAGGTGTTCAGAAGTGAAGAGAAGGAAAACAAAACATTCCTGGAAAAATGAGGAATCAAGAAAACATAATAGATTAGTAAAATATAAATAAAAAGCAAACACAGTATCCTGAATGAAGCTGAGCTGTAACCTATCAGTTTAATGTACAGCTACATAAATTTTTGCTGAATTAAGATTTTTTCTCTTTTTTTTTTACTACCATGTAGTAATCTTAAACTGTCTGTGTCAGTTAGATGCTCTTGAGTGCTCTCAATTCTACAATGTAAAGCTTCTACTTTGTAGTTGACATGCTGTAACCTCCCTTGTATATATTTATTTATTTGTGAGGTTAAATATGTCAAATATATTCAGCTCTATATTGACTGTTCTTATTACTTTAAAACTAAACTTTTGCTTCATCATAGAAGAAGAGGAAAGAATAATTTCTTATATATGTTTTTTTCCAAACACCTTGTGAAACAGTTTACTGTAGTTCTATGTTTTACCAGTATGAAGAAACATGTCAGTGTAATTTGTAATACTAGTCAGTGGAATATAGTGTAACACATTTGAAGATGGACTAAAGTGGAAAAGAACATTTTCAAGTAAATATTCTTGATGATAGTGTTCCAAATCATTAAAGTCTTTTAATAGTGAATGGCTGATTTTTTTTTTCTTTTTTAGTGTTTAATGGCAAAACTTACTACTGGAATTCTGGAATATGATCTTGTGTTTATTAAGTATGTGAGACAGGTACATGCCTAGCCAAAATGTCGGAAATAAGTGTGCAAGACTAACTCCACTTCATTAGAGGAACACGTTTTGCAGATTAAACTTTTCCCTTTTGTGATTTACTCTATGCCACATCAGTGAATGATCTGAAAGTTATGCAAGTTAATTTATTTATGGTAGCATAGAAATGAAAGGATAATCAAGGCAACAGACAGTATGCTGGGATGATCTTTTAGAAGTAATACAAATGGATTATCTAAAACTTGGGAGTTGTTTCTATCCGTATGTTTCTTTCCAGCTGAATATAGTCCCTCATTATCAATAACTTGATTTAACTTGTAATCGTACTTTGACTGACCACTGTCAATACATTTTAGTCAGCCAATCACTTGATTAATACACACTAATAGATAAACATTAAATGTAACACACTAATGGCTTGCCTTTAAACATTTACCTTTAAAGAACGTGGAAGCCTGCTGAAATATGTCAAATTTGCTCCCCTGTGTTAAATCATCATAGAAAACACACAGAATATGAAGATTTAGTAGTAATATTTTTAGAAAGCAATTAAAAACAACCCCACATGGTAAGTGGCATTTATTAATGAGGATGCTGGGTGTGCCTGCAGACGGTCTGTCCATGGGTGTCTGTGGACCGTGGACGCTACCCTTGAGCTTTATGACTTGGACAGTGTGGGAGGCCCCTCCGAGGGAAGGAGGCCAGGTTTTTCTTCCACATAGGATCTTGGCAGATGCCAAACTTGTAAGGAGTGATTTGCAGCATTTGGAGGTGGGTTTATTTTTCTCCTTGTTTCATCACTTTTTAAATATCAAGCACAATTTTATTTTAATCCTTTACTCTTAACAGCTTCCTACTGTAACCCATTGAGTTACATAAAATGCCACTTCATTTTATTACTTTCAAAAGGCTGATCTATAATCAGACACCTCTATGTCACCACAGGGACAACTACTAAGTTACAGGGTAGCAGTGTGTGATTCATAGAGCCATTATAAAAAGTTGTTATGTATTTACTATATATAAAGACATAAACCCATATACAGGTCAGCAAATCAGGCAAAGGATTTAGAAGTTAGCATCAGAGAAACCAGTAACGCAAACTCATCTGTGGAGCAGCCGTTTCATGCCCAGTGCTCCAGCTGCTGCTACGCTCAGGAGGCTCTCCACCCTCCACTTAGCCAGTCTTTAGCTACTCAGTCTGTTTAATTTTCAGAGCTCCTGGCCCCATCATTGCACTCCCATCCTCAGGACAATCACTTGCTGCAGTGCTAGGGAAAGGGAAAAAGGGAAAGGGAAAGGGAAAATAAAAGGGAAAGGGAAAAAGAAAGAAAAGGAAACAGAAAGGCAAAGAAGGGGAAGGGGAAGGGTAGTTGCCAAGGCCTGCTCTGCATCTGCTTACATTTTCCACATTATTTCTTCCCCTTTCCCAGGATATATCATCGCGACCAGCGATGGGGGCAGGCCACTGGAGCAGGTGGAACACACTACCAGGGCTATTTGTGCACTTGTCAATTAAAACTAATATTTTTGAC